CTCGCCCGTTCCCAGCAGCGTTCGGCGCTGGCCGGATGCGACAGTAACACGCGGGTGCAAATGTCGTGTCTTTTTGCTCCCCAGGTGGCCATGGCTACGGGACAGGTGCTCTTCCAGCGCTTCTTCTACACCAAGTCCTTCGTGAAGCATTCCATGGAGGTAAGGAGCCCGGCCCGCTCCTGCGCGTTTAAGCAGCCAGGCGCAGGGTCCCTCCCCAGCCCCACGTCCAGGAAATGGACGTGCGGGTTTCCCACGTAAAGCGAGGGAAACCTGTAGGCGTTGTTTAGTCGAGCTCAGTTTTACATATCTGCGTTACTGCTAGCAGCGATCGTGCCAGATTTTTGAATGCTTCTGTTTCTGCCGTTTTGTTCTCTCCGCTAAACGTTCGGGTCGGTTGTAGAGTCGAAGCCAAACCTCGATATGTTGCCCTGTTTCTATTCCAGCACGTGTCAATGGCTTGTGTTCACCTGGCATCTAAAATCGAAGAAGCGCCGAGGCGCATAAGGGATGTGATTAATGTGTTTCATCGCCTTCGACATCTACGAGAAAAAAAGTAAGCTCGGAGTTGGGAATATAGTGTACGGGGCTCGTTGCTTTCTTCAGTTTTGATACGGAGACGCTGAATGTTATGGCCTGAATGCAGCGTGTCTCTGTCAGTGCTGCCGTTCCTACTGGGACAGCTTCTGGGGAAGTAGGAATACGTTGGGAAAACCTTGTCTGAGGTGGTAAAAACGTAAAACGAGTTCAGGAAATCTAGAAAGGATCTCAACCGGATACCTCCTTGTAGCATAATAAATATTTGTGCTTCAAAATGCAGGAAAGAGTTCAATATGCACTTGTATCCAATATAAGATTAATGCCTATCCATCTTACTTGATGGCATCTAACATTTCTTTCAGGAAACCTGTACCTCTAATACTAGATCAAGAGTATGTTAATTTGAAGAACCAAATCATAAAGGCGGAAAGAAGAGTTTTAAAGGAATTGGGGTTCTGCGTCCATGTAAAGCACCCACATAAGGTTTGTAGTGCATTTGGTTAATATATTAAAATATATGTTTATCTTGCACTGCCCACTTCAAAAAGACAAAACCTGGATGAAAGCTGTTTGCTCGGCATGATGCCACCGTAGTGATCTTAGTGAAGTTAGTTTACTATGATCTTGCTATCTTGTTTCTCATTCAAGAGGTTCTTACTAGTGGGTCTTATCTCACTGGTGAGTGAAGACTGGAGGTGGATGCAGATGTTAAGTACTGGTTAGACATAACTGTACTTGGATCTTCCCTGAGTCTTAGCATGAAAACAACTTGTTGTTGTATGAACAGGTAACCTTGGTATTAAAAGACAAGCAACTCTGTCTAAGGCTCTCAAATGACTGATCCTTCATAAAATAAATCCTAGCTTTCTAGGATGACAAATGTGTCTCTGCTAATGGGGTGACTATCCGTTCTTTCTAGAAGCCTGCGCATGCTGCTCCTGCATTTCTCATTTAGTCAGTCACTTGTCATGTAAAGAACTCCCCCTTTCTTTTGCACCCTAAATATCTATTTTCCATCTTGAAGCATCAAAATACTGCTGCCAAGCCCTAACTGGTGCGACAGGTCAGACATGGAGATGAAATGCTCCTTGTTTTAATGTCACCGCTTTTGTCCTTAACACTACCCACAGTAGGCATGGGTAAGGAAGTTTCTGTGCTTTCAGAACTTGTCACGCTCCGTTCAGGTCTCTCGCCTTGCCACTGCAGTCTGATTTTTGTCACAAGACTTGAGGGGCTCTGATCACAGGACTGTGAGCATACCTCCAACTGCCGACTCCTGTGACTTTTTTCTGTGTGTAGATCAAAGAGAATTTTTGTTTGCCTTGCAAGCTGCATGGGCACAAAAGAAAAAGTTGACTAAGCTTCTTCCCAATGGATTTGAAGTGTGGTGTTTGCCACTTGATCCTGCTGTCACCTATAAAAGAATGTGGAGCTCTATAGGAAAACCGCATCTATTTTGAAAACTGAGTTGAAAGCAAGTCTTCTAGTTGACTGAAATGATGCCTGACTTTGGAAGATGCCCTGTTAGGAAGATCTTCCACACAAACCTTTGCAGCCTGTTTTTTTTTTTTTCCCCCTCTTCTGGAAGACAGGAGCTGCATGGGTAAATACTGGGCATTTGCGCGCACGCTCTTTACGGATACTTAGCACCTAGGACAGAATAGCAGATGCCTCATGGATGCCCCTCTGAGTTAAATACTTGGCTCTCAAGATTCCTGGTAATAATTTGATAACCCATATCTTCCAGATAATCGTTATGTACCTTCAGGTATTAGAATGTGAACGTAACCAACACCTGGTCCAGACTTCATGGTAAGTTGATTTTTCTTGTTCTAAGAGACCAGCAGGGGCAGTGGCAGAAATATGTCATTTGAGGCACTCTGGGCAACATTTGCTTTAGCCCGCTACTGTGTCCATGAGTAATCCACTCCAGTGTTTCCTGGAGTGCCTCAACCTACTACCCAATTGTTGATCGGCCTGTCAGTTTCAGGCACTGTCTTTAAATGGTAAGGTAGTTTTAAACCCTCACCCCTTGCTCTATCTTCCCTTCTCTCCTATCATTCATCCTCCCTTTGAAGCGAATGTGTTCAGTGGTTATTTCTTGGTAAATCACACATGCAGTTCTAGTCCTTTCCTGATGTTCTTCGTTCCCAATACTCGGTCTGTTGATTGCAACAAGTGCATCGAACTCTCAGCACACATCTTAAAACAAGATGTGTTTTGATTCACGTGGATAATCCAAGATGTCGGCTCCTAAGACTGGAAAAGCTCACTGTTTTACATTTGACACGAACAGTCTTCTGCTTGCCCTGTCTGCTTTCACTAGAGTGAAAGCAACTCACTTGGGGATGGGTATTTAATGTAAAATTCCAGGTCTCGATTTTTAACAAATTGGTAATTGGTATAACAATGCCGTTAATTAAAATTGGGGTAATGAACCTAACGATCATATTTCTGCTGACTGAACTGTCTGGTACTGTGCCCTGTTTGGTAGAGAACCTATTTTGACTTTTCTTTTCTGTACTCTTTTAATCAAAGGGTAGCCTCTGAGGGTAAGTGACTAAGACTTCTCCTCTGCTGCCCAAGCGCTATGGTGCAGGGATAGCTGCCGTCTTCAGTCAAACCAAAGCAGGCTCTACAAAGAGAAGGCTGACTCTAGACAGGTGGTATATATACGATAGTATAGTAACTGGCCAACTGCTGCTTGTGCTTATCCTTTTGACTGTTTTTATTGTTCGTTTTTTGTTGTTGTGCCTTTTGGATTCTTGTAAATTTTTAGAACTTGATTGTCAACATTTTGAAACCTGCTAATGTTAAGTTTCTAGGACTGTGTTAAAACTGCTGTACTACCTTCACAGTGCAAAAAGCCATTTTAAGATGAGACTTGAGTCTTACGGGATGGGGGGAGGGAATGCATTAAGTGATTAAAAACTGTGATAGACTTTTTTTCTTTGCCATAATTTGTGTAAATTATCTAATCTGATCCTTATGATAAAAGTTTACAATTCAGAATTAAGGGTAGTTAATGCCATGGGATGTTTCTCCCACTACTGGATTAAGTAGTGTTAATGCATGCAGAATTCATATAAAAACTGGGGGTTTTAGATGCTGATATTCTGCCTGTTCGGGATGGGAAGAAGTAACCATAGTAAAGCAGTGTTCCAGCCTTTAAGATGTATTTGGGACATGGGTTTTTATACATATATAAATGTGCTCATGGTGGTTGCTCCAGTATCTGAAAATTGGGTATCCAGTATAAACGATTATTGAAATGTGGTAGTTTTCCAGCATTGCTGTTTCTAAACTATTGTAACAAGAATTCATTCCTGTGTACACCCAGACCCAGAGCCCGATGATCGAGTGCACAGGTAGCAGCCTGTGAACATGCTGTGTTGTTAGTTTGGCAATTATGAAAAGAAACACGAATCGTCCTTCTTTGGAATACTGCGGTTCCTACTGTCCGCCTAAGTGTCATCATCTTCTTAACAAAATTGATTTGTTGTGGCATTATATTTCCTCAAAAGCCAAGTGTCAAGGTGCAAGATAAACTAATAGTTTTTGCTCCTACTTTTCCACGGTCACAGTCATTCTGTTAGGACTGAGATGTAGGAAAGGTCCTCATGCCTATGTATATACCTTTTTCAGTTGTTGCAGTGGAATTCACAAGCATCTCCTATTTGCTCTCTGTAAATACAGTTTTCTGTAAGCACAATTTACATGGACTCTCTGGGCTCTGGGGTGGGTGTCCTTGGGGTAGTGAATCCTTGTATCCTGGGTACCCACATGGTCAGTTTTGGACTTCATTCTGAATGCTTGTTGCAGAAGTATACAAAGACCTTTGTTCTGGGCTGAATTCAGACATTACCATCTGATATCCTGCCTGAAAGAAATGTTATGTTCTTTTTAAAAAGCTTAACCCAATTGAGCATTTTATTTGCCTGACTAATTTAAAGTACAAAGTACTTGCATCTGAATTTACGGTTTTAGAATTACACTTTTTAAAAAATGTACTGACTGTGGAATATGTGCAATATCTTACAGTTTTCTCATACTGTGAATATTCATTTTAAGCAACCTTGTTGAAATGGGACAGTTTGGAAATGATACTTTCATATGCCAAAGAAGAAGAGATCTGCCTGAAACTGAGCCTTCTTCAGCATTGATGATCCCCAAAGCACAGATTTCTTCTACAGCTACTTTTTTACATCAAAATGGATTCTGTTCTGGATGATGTCTTGCTGATGGAGAATTGACATGTTGCCACGTGAACCGTACTGTGGATGTGGGCACGAGCCGCGTTGGATTGCTTTTCCCAGAAGAACTCCTTTGGAATCTGTGGCTTTGAATGGCACCCTGAGTCTACATGTTTCTCCACATATGGGATTGAGCCTAGATTGCTATAACTGAGTACTTTTACAGATTATATTGTATGTTGCCTCTACACAAACTTTTGTTCATTGCATGAGAGCAGGCCAGTAGATCTAGAGGAAAGAAAAGTGAAGTTAAAATTGGTTCTCTTTCATAACAGAGTTATCACAACAGCCAGTCAGTCATTAACTTAACTCCCAACCCCTTGTTCCTTCTACTTGAGGGATCTTTTAGTAGACTAATTTAACTTCTCTTTAGATTCACAGGAGCATAGACCTTAACTATAGTAATTGAATGCATAGCAAAGTAGTTCTTGTAGAATTAAAGAGAGTAGAATGCAGGGCATAGCAATTTTCCCCCTTACTTGTTTTTCAGGAATTACATGAATGATAGCCTGCGAACGGATGTCTTTGTCAGATTCCAGCCAGAAAGCATTGCCTGTGCCTGCATATACCTTGCAGCGAGGACACTGGAGGTGAGGTTTTTTCAGTTGCTTAATGTAAAAACTTAAGTTTGTTTCTTCAAAAAGTCAGAAAGCTAATAGTCTGTGACATCTTACAGATTCCACTTCCCAATCGTCCTCACTGGTTTCTACTGTTTGGAGCAACAGAGGAGGAAATTCAAGAGATTTGTTTAAAGATTCTGAAGCTCTACACTCAGAAAAAGGTTTGTATGCGTACGCCAACATGAGATCAGTATAGACAACATTTTGTCATAAATTGAGGCAAGTTATCATCCGATTGAAACCTTTTGTAAAATTCTAATGAAGTGGGATGCAGACCCCCAGAGTTGTATCTCTTGCTCTTGGTCTATGTGGTAAATAGGTAGTTTAAATACAACTAAGTGGAGAGTTGACCTCTTCCATTTGCATTTGTAGGTTGACTTACCTTATCTGGAAAGCAAAGTAGAAAAGAAAAAGCTAGCCCTCGAAGAAGCAAAAGCCCAAGCGAAGGGTCTGATACCAGACGGAACCCCCAGTTTGGATACGACATCAGGATTTTCTCCTCTTCCTAAAACTGGTTGGTGGTGTTCACATGTGTAAAATATGCTCCTTTGCCCTTTATCTCAAGGGCGTTTTTACACTCTTATGGATATAATGTCCTGTCAGTTACCGAGTAGAGATCGTCTCAGTGAGGCTGTGTCCAGTTGCCTGTGGTACTCCAGTTAATGGCACATTAGGCTGTTTGCCTTCCAAATGATGATGTGAGCTGTTCTTTGTGGAGTGGGCTAGATGGACACTTGGCTTCATCCCATTCAGCAACAGTCCTCTTGTTAACACTTAGCATGTGAGAAATACAACGTGAAAATCTTAATTTTAATGGGACGAGCAGGCAAACCAGTTTCAGATGGAGAAGGTTTCGTGTTCTGTTCTCAAATAATTTATGCTGCAGCAATTTCATACCTGTAAGTAAAGGAAGGAAAGTGGCTTTGTATGAAAGAATTATTTCAGGCCATGAAGGCAGGTGCCTGCCATTCGATAATTTGTTTGCTCTCTAAAGCCTGGTAGTTTATTCATATCCATAGCCATTATATAGCTTTCTTCCTTTATTTTTGTGCTTCCAGAGTCTCCAAAAGATGGCAAAGGGAACAAACCTTCACCACTTCCTGTCCAGGCAATGAAGAATGCCAAAAGAAAAATGGAGGGAGCAAAAAGAACAAATCCTAACAGCCCTGTGAATGGGTAAGGCTCTGCATCCAGTGGAGACTGTTTAGTTTTGGTTTGGGAGTTTTTTGGTTCAGTCTAAACCACTTGTCCTTTGTCCTTCTCAGTATTCAGAAAGGGGGAGAAAGCAGAAGCCGGAGTGGCAGTCGAGAGCAGAGTTACTCAAGGTCACCCTCGCGATCAGCATCCCCTAAGCACAGGTATGTGCTGCAGTGGGCAGGTATGCACAGAAGTATTTCTCCATGCTTGTGTTGAAAACTAGCAGCCAATGGCAATTCCAGAGTGGGCCTTTGGAGAGTGGCAAAGGGCTCGACTGAGGCAACAATTCAAGCTGGCAACAAATTGAACTGTTCAGAAGGGCTGTAGAGTAGCCAGTCAGGTTCAAGTATGCATGTGGTCAGTGGAATGAAGGTCTATGAATGACAGGTTGTTTCTGAACAAGTCTCCTGCCTTGTGTGTGCTCCTAGTCCTTTCTACTGGCTTAAATGACAAAAACATGTTTGTGCTTCTGTGATTGCCCTTGCTGTAGACACAGCAGAGCAGCAGCACAAGGATCTGGATTCTGTTTGGTCTTCCAAGTCAAGGGAATTCCTTTGTTTGTACTTGTGCCAAAGATACCAAACCCTGCAGCTGCACAAGTAGAATTCGAGTTTTAGAACGTGGCTAGAAAAACCTCTTGCTAGTGATCTACAGGCCAGGGACAAGATAACTCAACTTCAGACATTCAGCTCAAGCTTTCAGAAATACACATTAAAAAAACACTTCTTATATTTGGAACCAGAATGAAGTTGACCCTTAATTTTCCACTAAAGCTCTGCTATAAAGATCAGGCAGCTTGATAAATGTAATGGGAGGCTTTGCATTCTTACTAAAAAGATTTTGGGGAAATAGCGTCTTCAGTTTTTCAGTGGCTTGTGCTTTTTACCCACTGTCCAGTACATGAAGTGCCAGTTAGCTTCCTGCAGGACGGAGAGAATAGACAATATCTATTTGCTCAGCTTTATAAGCATAGGGATATAAAATGCTGCTTCATAGTTAAATTTGTAGGCAAAATGCTACTCACTTAAATCTTATGCTTCAGTCAGGTTCGTGCTACAGCCTTGAAATGGGTGAGCAGTAAAATATACTCTGATTGTCAGTGGGTGGCCAAAACCAAAGTTAAGATCCGCTGATCTACATAGACGTAGACGTTTTGCTGAGTCGGATAATTAAGGGGTTATTCAGATATATTTAGAGACGGTTCTATTCTTATAAGACTTATGTGAGGCAGCTTTCAACCTGAATATTGGCTCTGCTAGATAATAGCTTCTCTCCCAGGAGAGGGGGATTTTAAGAGATGTTAAAGGATAACATCTATTTAAATTCAGACTTCATCTGAAAATGTTACGTAATTAATCTTACAAATAATTCCCAATGTCTGCTATAACTAAAAGATTGGATGGGGTTTTTGGGTATGTTTTGGTCTTGGCAGCATTAGCTGGATCTGGTTAGTCCAGTACATCCACCTCTGCGATGTTAATAGCACTCGGGGTATTGACATGGGCATGGGTTGCTAAGAACCTTCTGCTTTTGCTTTCTTCTTATAGAAAAAGTGAAAGCTACTCTACATCCAGCGGTTCCAAATCTCATAGCCGCTCCAGGAGTCGCAGCGATTCTCCCCCAAGACAGTTCAACCATGGTGCTAGTTACAAAGGCTCCAAGATGAGGAGTTACAAAAAGTCCAAGGACTACAAATACTCGGCGCACAAGCCAAGGAAGTCCCGTAGCAGGAGCTCATCGCGTTCCAGGAGCCGATCACGGGAGCGCTCCGATCACTCGGGGAAGTACAAGAAGAAGAGCCACTACTACCGCAATCACCGGCACGAGCGTTCCCGCTCCTATGAGCGCACAGGCCATCGCTATGACCGGGACCACCCCGGCCACAGCAGGCACAGGAGATGAGCAGTAAGGGGGTCTCTTTCTTTTGCACTGCAAAAAGAGCTCACCACCCCCCCCCCTTGCCCTACATTTAGCTCTTGCAGCTTAAGGGTAACCTGGCTCACAAATCACTGAATTCCAGTGAGCTTCACTCATAGCTGCTAACTCTTACTTGTTAGCATGAATCCAAAGGAAAGATATCAACAGATCTGTGGTTCTGGAAGATTTGATGTGGTAAATGCCTTGGTGGCTCTTGCTGCTTGGAGCATCTGGTAACACTGAAGAGTCCTGTTGCAGTGGATGCTTCTGTGCTTGCTCTTTGGGAAGGGGTGTGTTAACATACAGTAGTGCAATGCTATGTTACTATACTGTCAGACTCAAAGAATGGAGAGCAAAAATTTCCTCACTTGGCAGTGGAGCTGTCTGCTGCTCAGCCTCTCCTAACTGGACGTGAAAGCTCACGTTTCCCGAGAACCATTGGAGTGGCTTGGTGCTAACAAAGCTCTCTTCGTACTGACTCTATTATGTTGTACAAATAGAAAGTGATTTTTTTTGTAGAATTGATGCCTATATTAGGTTCTCCGTGTGTATATATTTTGCAGTGTTGAGCAGTACAATACGGGAAAATGGCCTTATTAGCCCTTACACTTTATTCACAATGTAAATAAGCATTTGTTTCATACCAGTGAAGGCTATATACTGAAAACTCAAAACTTGAACGCTCAGTTTAAAACTTGTGTAGAAATTCTGATAAATGTGAAAGTATCTAGCTCCATGTATTGAAAGTAGTATATTTTTTATCCGTGCAATGCTGCGTGCAGGCCACCAGCTCGTAAATAGAAGTTTCATATATATACATTTTATGTGGTTTGAATAACTCTATACTCAGGATCTTTGACACTCTGAAGAAAATGGTAGTTTGTCAATCTGCTTGCTTGTTTAAAAACAGAAGGTGTTTGAAAAATTGTACACAGCCCAGCAGTATCCGTTTTAGTGGTATATCTGAGCTGGTCTATCCTCCCATGCGCTCTAATTTCATTAAAGTATTGGATTTTGTATTAAAACTGCTTGATGTCAGTCTCTGAATTGCGGTTGTCTTGTAGAGTAAATCGCAGCAGTTGTAGTTTTAAACTGAAACGTGACTCATCTCAGTTTTTTAAAATAGCTTTGAACTGATGTTCTAGCCAATGGTTGTGGGGGTGGGGTGAGTAATAGTAAAAATTACTATTCCCTTTTAAAAGCTACATGACTAGAATCTCTGAGAGAGCTTTCATCACCGCTTTAGGTAATACATCTTGCATAAGAAGAGATTTGGTTTCCAGTCTCTTGAAAGAAAATAACAATTCTTCTAAGCTTCTGACCACTGATTTGGGGTGGGTAGAGGGGGGTAGCTTTCATGGTGCTTAGATACAGATGAGTGATTTACTGCTCTTCATGCCCTCAAATGCCCTCATTTATCTACTTGGGTTTCTCATCAGGTGTGTGCTGCCTGCACTTGCTTCTACAGCGATCTGGTGATGGGTCTCTTGACTATTTCCCAAGGTTTAGGGCTTTCTTTGCAGCCTCTAAGCACCTTTTCAGCAGTATTGCCCAGTAATAGTGATCCAATTAAAGTTCCTCGTTCTAGTATTTCAGACTGGAATGGGGGAAGCAGTGAAATGAAAGCTAAGTCACACCTCATTATTTAGGATGGAGTGAGGGGTACAATGCCATGATGCCTTGGCCTCAGCAGCAGTCCTCTTCTTTGCTGTCTTCTTTGGCCCTTTCCATATTCTAACCAGTCGCTTGGCAGCTTCCTCATTCTTTTTGCATACTGCTTTGGAACAGGGCAGCCAAGGGGGCCTGTAGGCAGCTTCTCAGACACACAAAGTCCCTAATCTGAAAGAGCCAAGTGCCCCTTTGACAACCAGGCCTCTGCAAAGTGTCTCAACTTGTGTTCCTACAATATGAAACACTGTCCCCCTGATCACTAGTCAGAGCCTACCTGTGACTGGAATAGACTGTGGGGCAGGCTTGTGCTGCTACAGAGGCATTAAAAGCTCCAGGCTTATAGTAGTTTCCAGTTTGCTCTGCCATCTGTCCTGGGCAAGTTGCTAATAAAAAAGGGAAGCCCTTCTGAACCACGAGTACCCCTGACAGTTGCTATAAGCCAGTGGAAGTTGCACAGTTTGGGATGGTAGGGAATTGCTAGAGAGCAGGGATTTCTTTTCCATTTGTTATCTCTGACACTATTGTTGTTCATGCTTCCTTCTGGATTTTGTATTTTCAAACGTGAAATTAAAACCCCAAATAAGATTTAATCCATGTAGCAAGTTACAGCCCATGAAAAGGATAATGTAGGAATGGAAGGAATGTGAGCATTTCTTCTGAGGGACTTGTATCCTTTTTAAGGGCTTGTCTAAGCAGGGAAAAGAGCTGGCATATCTCTGCTGCTAAAACTCTCCCTGAGGATGCTCTTACACATTTTAGGCTAAATTTTCCCTTTCTTTCCTCATTGCTTTGAAAGCACCATAAGCTAAAGCATTTTAAATAAGAGCTCTTATTCTGGAATGAGTGGTGAGAGAGTGGTTTTACTGGTGTAGCCATGATCTTTTTTTCTTTCCCCCGCTAGGATAAACAAGTCCCAGGCTGGAATCTATTTTTAAAATAACTACTCATAATTTTATTTATATATATATATATATATATATATATATATATAAATAAATTTTATTTATTTATTTTTTAAAATCCCTAAAGGGATCAGAGACTTGCAGTTGCATGGTACTTTCAGAGCTGGAGGCCAGTGTCCATGCCCCCTAAACACTACATCACATGGATTAGATGCCTGAGAATGAGAGGAGGAAATGTAAGGCTTTGGGCTGGAGTGAGGACTTGAAAACAACTAAGATGTACCAGCCAGGTGTCCTTGCTAGGAGGCTGGAGTCTGGCCCAACATGGAACAGTTTCAACATGGGTGTAAAAATTACTTGTCCTAAATCCCCCAAAGGCAATTTCTTGGAAGTTGAGAGACATGGGGTTCAAGTCCCTGTTCTAAAATAGGCCTTGTATCCCAGGGGAAGCCTAGGGATTTGGGGTGAAATGCATGCCTGCCCTGAAAAGTGTCATTCTCAGCTATCTTTTGCATTAGTGTCTGATGTAGCAGACGTGTTCTCAGAACGGGTGTTGTAATGACAGAGCAAGGATTACAGTTAAGATTAAGTACTTGCAAGTGATAGTATAATAATTTGAGATGATATTGGGTGGATAGCAGAGACTCACAAGGCTAGGATTAGAATAAGGAGGAATAAGACAAGCGGCCGGGAACATGAAGTTCAATAAGGGCAAGTGCAATGAAGGACTAATCAAATGCCCAAAAAGAAAATGGAGAGTGACTGGCTAAGTTACAGAAAAGACCCCAGGAGTTAAAATGGATCACGACAGTATGCCACTAGCATTCTGGGATGCAAAACCAGCAGATGCAGGCAAGTCATAGGTAAATTATTTTGTACTCCATTCAGCATGGGGCAGGGGGCTGCACCTGGATTACTCCATCCAGCTTGGGGCACTGTGCTTACAGAAGGACACGGTGGACAAGTACTTAATCTAGAGAAAAGCAACAAAAATTATATTAGAGCTCTAGGAAGCATAATAGGACAATCGTTTGGAAAAAAAGGGAATGAGTTATTTTGGGAGAAGAGGAAAGCAAGGGAGATTTGGTAGTCTTCAGATACAAAAAGCATGGTAACCAACTCCATTTCCATCTCCAACAGGATGAGAAGTAATAGGATGAAATTACAACAAGGGAAATTTATGTTAGAAACTAGGAAGAAAGAACTTTCTACCAATGAGATTAGGTTAAGCACTGGAAAAGATTACTTGGAGAGTTTGTGGAACCTCCATCACTGGAAGCTTCCAAGTGTAGGTTAGACAACCACTGGGCTATGATGATTCAGCCAGGGATGATCCTACTTGAAGAAGTGGAATCCATCTATTTTCCTATGATTTGGTGATACAGCGGTAGTCAAGGAATTTTCTTACGTTTGTGGGATTTAGTTCATAGATTTCTGCAACTCCTTGCTCTGCGTGGAACAGAGCAGGAGAAACGGTTGTTTCTATGCTGTGGCACAGGGAAAACCCTGGAACTTAATTTAGGGCAATGCAATGCCAAGCAACATAATGTGTGAGTTGGGCTAGGGGGAAAGTGCTAGTATTGGGCCTGCACGAAGCAGCTAGTATTCGCTTTGGATTCGGATTTGGCCGAGTCAGGGGACAGTGATTTGATTCAGTGATTTGAATCACTCTCCCAAATTCAATCGGCTGAATCTCCAAATCGACCCCATCCCTCGCCCACTCTCCCAGGTCCTGGCTCTTTGAAAAAAAAACCCAGGCTCACCGGCTCCTGCTGGGTGGGGGGTGATCCTCGCTGCCCCCCACTGCCTGGTGCTGCATGGGGGCCTCTGCACAAGCCCCCCAAACTCCCGCAGCTGCTGCAGAAGCTGATGAGTGCAGGGTTTGGGTTTTTTGTGGTTTTTTAAAGGGCCAGAGCTGGGGTGGACTGGGCAGCCATGGGGGAACTAGGAGAGCGGTTAGGGGGCTGAGGGAGCAGGCAGGGGATGAGTCCCCACGGTCCCCCTCCCCTGCCCCCTACTTACCAGCTCGGAGTCCAGCTCCAGCTCCCTGCTGCAGCCACCGGGGACTGCCCGAATTGCCGAAGGTTTCCGAATCTTTTCCAAATCGATTCGGAGAATTTCGAATCAATTCAGACCTTTTAACTGGTCTCCTGATTCAATTTGGATTCGGAGATTCAGCCACCGAATTGAGTCGAATTGCCTCTGAATCAAATCAGCACCCAAAGCTTCTCACGGCCCTAACTAGCATGGACTTGAGCTGGCCAGTTTTAACCAAGCAGGTATCTTGTTTACGCTGAAGTCAGCAAATCACTAGTTTTCATCTGTACCTTGCCCCATAGGTGGAAACTAATTATTTTGCCCCGTGTGTACTAAATCATGGAAAATCAAAGCTCAAAAGTAGCCAAAGATCAATACAATAAAGCAAAGTACTCTTGACCTCTCCTAAGTGTCTCTCATCTGAACCTATTGGGCAGGAACTGGCTTCTGCTGGGAGTTTGTATTCAAAGCCGTTATTCTTACTATTTGAGGGCATTGCAAAGGGTCAGCCAAGCACATTTAAGCAAGTAAAATGCATTACGTTGTCTTGCTGGTGCTAGTCCTAAAAGGTAGTAGACACAATCAACCCACCTTTTAGTTATCAATTGTCTGCTATGTGAACCAGTCATTTAAACAGAAGATGCCTCCTGTCCACTTCCTTAGACCCCAGTGCACAGCAGGGCTCTGTACTGGGTCTGTAGGTCAGAAAATGTGAAGTGTTGCTGTTTCACAGGGAAACAAGTTCTGTTTCCACCAACTTCACCTTGAATTCAACCTCAGTGATAAACCCTGGGCCTGTTCCCTGCAGTGTTTTGCCTGCTCTCCAGTGCATGTCAAGTGCTATGGGGGAAATAGTGACTTCCAAAGCAGACAGGAAAACCCAGACTGGAAGGTTTTCTAGATGTATACATCATGTCATTTGGCATAGTAAACTGCAGCTGTGTTTTATAAACTGTTAGGCACATGTGCGGCACTGAATAAACAGTAATGATCTGCTTTTCAACACATTTGTCTGGATCCGGAGAGGAAAATTGAAAGCTGA